TGGGGACGTGTCATTGACAATGACTTGTATATTTTTACATTCATTTATTTTGAAGCTGCACCAATTTACATTCTGTTTCTTCTTTTTTTCATTCACATATAAAGCCCACTGATGAATCACTAGAACGTACCAATTTTGAGTTGTTTGGACTTAGACCCTATACATTATACAAAATAAGGGTGTCATGCAGACCTGCTTACCGCTTGGGACGTTGGAGTGACTGGTCTGATATTATATCAAAGAAAACCATGGAAGCAGGTACAAAAATAAAACAACAAAAATACCTTTTGTGTAATTTGAGTTGTAATGGTCAGACATACATGTACTAAACTTAGTAGTAGTTTGTTTGTTTTTTGTGTTTTTATTTGGCAATAAATTAGAGAGAGTCTAGGTTGGGTGGGCATGTGCCATTTGCAGCTTTAGGATTGGACAATATGTGAATATGGAATATGAATTTATTGCCAAAGTAATTATTGACTGTTGAATTTGTTTTTATTATTATAATATACTAGTATCTTTCTTTCTGTTCTGTTATGTTATAAACACTAAAAGTGGTATTTTTGGTGAGCCCAGAGTGAAGGTGGGGGGGGGGGATTCCTACAACTAATGGATCGACCCAAGATGTTTAGATTTAAGTCACAGTTAGTCACTTCTCTGTATTTTTTCATTGCTTGTGTGTCAGTTAACTGGTTTGCAAAAGTATATAGCCATCTTGCAAAACTGCAGTTACCGGTACATGCTATTATGCCCCACCAGTAAAATTGGTTAAGGCCATAAAAAAAGTATTGTTTTACTAGTGATTTAAAATGTTCAATGCTGACAATACTGTCACTTAAAATACGTTTGTAGTTTTGAATGCAAACACTAAATATTGTATTTACGTGAGACCTGTTAGATATATTTGTATTAATTACCAATTATTCATCTAATATTTAAAACTTAGTTCCTATGAGTGACATGATTAGGCAGTGATCTTGAAATGGGGGTGAAATGTTTGATATATACTGCCATTTTGAATTTTACACTAGTAAATAATTTACTGGTATAATTTTTTTTTTGGTGTTAGTTTGTTTGGAATAATTCAAAAAGTAAGAGATGAATTTTTATGAATATTTTAGATATGATTACTCTGGAAGCAAAGACCAATTGTTGTAAGTTGGGAGATATCTGCATCTGGTCACAATGGCAACAAGAATGTTTTCGATACATGTAAGATCCTTCACAATTTGTATGATTTTTTTTCGTCATTTTTTGAGAAATTTGGACTTGGTTGCCATGGAAACAATTTTTGTGCCAGAATTCACCACCATAGCCTGTATTTGCCCTGTAGTTTTAGGAGTTTCAAACTTCAAACCAAACCAAAAGTTAACCGAAACCTTTGCACCCTATATATTCCTAGCCTATCCCCAACTTTGGTGTCTCCAACATCACAGCTTATGTTCTAATTGTGTCTCATGTAAATATAAAAGGTTTTAATTTCTAAAAGTTGGCAATTAAAATAACAGTACTCAATAAGACGTTGTTGATTTTGCTTTCAGCCCCAACAGAAGGAGTCAAGTTGTATCTTTCTCGGGAAATACTACATGATAACAATAAACGTGATGTCATCATATCATGGACAGTAAGCAGTTTTCTCATCTCTCTAATTGGAATAATTAATACATCACTGGCCATGTCTTAAGATGTGGTCTCTGATCTCTGATTGGGCCATATTCCATACATTTGCATATTTGTATAATTTGTTGGTACTATATTTGTTCTACTATACTAGCAGCACATCTCCATTAGAAGTACACATAAATTGGTATTTATTGTATATTGGAACATTAGTTTGACCATAGACACTGTCATTTATGTAAGCACTACTAATACAACAAATATGGTATTTTTCTTGGTTATCTGCAATACATGGTTGCAATATTTTCAGCATAAAGAAGCTCTTTTATTCCACTTTTGGATGAATAAGTTTGAAAAACAGGAATTAATGGATTACTGTAAAATACTTTATTTTAGCTGGAATTAATTTTCGCTGATAAGACATTTTGGGTGTTTTGTATGGAATTTATTTTCATTGATTTCTGGCGAGTTGAATGCAATATATAGAAAAAAGGTACTGGTATATTCGCTGGATTTTATTTTCACCTAATCATTCTCTCAGCTAAAATAGCGAAAATGAATTCCAAGCGAAAATAAAGTATTTTACAGTGTGTATCCAGCCATAACTGACACATGCTTGGTTCAATCTAGTTCAACGTCATACATACATCAGACATACATCATAAGCTCATACATTTGTTTCATGATCTGATTCAAGATGGCATTTTAATACCAAAAATGCATCAAAGTCACACATTTCCACCATTCCAAATTTCAGTCATATGTAGACAGATTTGGTTTAAATTTGGTATACATTTTATTTTTTAAATCAATTTCAAAAAGGCAGACTGACCCTTTTGTTTAAAAGGAAGCATGTGACATGCATGGATTGATCAAGTTCAAACTTCACACATAAATCATATTGTACATATATATGTACATGCATTTGTAGCATAATTTAATTCATAGCATAATGTCCAAATGGCAGCCATTTTAAGGCCAAAAATGTATCAAAATATTAAACATATGTTTATCATTCCAGAACCGGATCTCAGTTGTGTATGAATTAATTTTGTTAAAACTTGGTATATACATTTATTACTGTAAAATATTTTATTTTCACTTGGAATTAATTCTTGCTATTTTCGCTAACCTTTTTCCCTATATTTCACATTCAACTCATCAATAATCATTAAAAATAAATTCCATACAAAACACCCAAAAAGTCTTTTCAGCAAAAATTAATTCCAGCTAAAATAAAGTATTTTACAGTATTATGGGACTATAATAATAATAATAATAATAATAACTTTATTGCATCCTTAGAAATACAATGTTTCTATCAGTTAATAGCAATAAAGATTAGTTGTGATAACTACTACTACAAAAAGAAAGTTAGTTGTTAAAAAAAAAAGATAAAGCAAGTGTTACATATCAAATGGCATTTTTATTTCTTGATTGAAATGCATTATGAATATAGTTGCCAATCTTTTTTATTATTACATCATCTTTTGAAGTCATCAAGAAATAAATTTTTGGAGA